ATATTTGGGTTGAACTGTTCTGGAACAGTGTTGTAAATACAACTTAACCACTGATTTCTAGTCTACTCTTTTGGAAGGCCAAACAAAGTAGTTTCACACGGCGGGCCTGAGTGAGCGGAGGGCGGGCTTGAGAACGGCGCGGCCGGCGGACTTGCAGCAACCACATGTGACGACCCCAGGCTGGACTCCGCTTCGTCCACGTTGAAAGCCGATCCGGCGATCCACAGCGCACTCTTAACTTTTATAAAGAATATCTCTTTGGATTTGAGACTTTAGTCTTTGCAACTTTACAGATCTTCTTTATGCACCAAGAGCTTGTAACACTCCAAAGAGAAAGGAAAAATTGAAATCGCATCATATGACCCCTTTAAAATATCTCACACAAAACTGGGAAGACAAACTAAAAGAGAAAGTACAGGAATACCTCATGCGATAGTAAAGCTTCAGTCTTGTAGTCTCATCAATAGTGAATGAGTGATTGGGTGGATACCAGATCTTGCTAAATTCATCATAAAGGGCGAACAAACTGCTACACAGTGGAGATATACCTGAAGTATTGAGACATTATTGAGTCTGTGATGGTTACAATCTTTATTTTGTTGAATAGTTGAAAAACTTACCCAACTTCTTGGCAGCTTCAACACACAGCTCCTCTGCCGTGAAACTTCCTGAGAGATGAATGATCTGGTGTGTCTCTGGCAGGTAAAAATGGATCTCGAGCCCCTGTAATATCACTGAGGCCATGACTTCTTTTTTTTAACACTTTATTAATGAGGTCACGGCAATATTCCATTCCAACTTTTTCCTATGTATAGTAAAATAAAATTCGGTCATCATACATATGGTATAGAACAACATTTCCCACTTCGAAATACAGTAAAGAATGTTCTTTACGAACACCTGGGGTTTTTACAGGTAACGTTAACAGTCGATTTAATAGAAACTGAAAGTTTGCTGAAGAGCTCAATTCACGACTAACACAATTATCTCCTATTTCTGACTGTCATTAGTGTGTCTGGACTCTAACGGCTACATCGAATAAACTTATAAAAGATATAAATCGTGTAAACGAATTTTACTTTACCGTCGAAAGATCATCTGGCTGAGATTCGCTTTCCGAGGAAACTGATGATGAGATTCTGATAAATGACGTGCCCGACACGCTGAATCTGATTGGCTGCTTGACGTTTCTCTCGCCTGACGTCACCCTCATTTAACCCTTACTTCAATAGAATTTCTGTCACTGTAAAATGATCATGATTCGGCTCATATACATACAGTCTATGCTCCCGAGGCAAAGTCTCTACGGCATTTTCCAGGGAAAAACTGTGTGGTTTTTCGGGCTGTCTTACTAAAGTCTTAAAAATAATGAAAGCATGTTCAAATGTCCACAATATGGCATTTTCTATTATCGGATTTTGTCATTTTGTTGTAGCTGTTGTTGTTGTTTTCCAATACAAACGTACACAGTATATTCGATTAAATACGTATGCATTTTATTACTTAGGGTATTTTAAGATTAACTATATAATATTCAGTATTATTAGGTAGACATACAGACAGGAGCTAACAATGAAAAACACTTCTAAAGTATTTATTAATCTTATGTTAATTTCAACATTTTCTAAAATCACGTTTTATCTGTTAATGGTATTTAACAGACCCGAGCTAACATTATCTAACAATAAAACAATCAAAACAGTACAACGTTAACAAAGATTAATAAATAGTGTAAGTGTAACAAATTGTTAGTTAATGCATAGTGGGACATTGTAATACGTTACAGATAGAGACTATCAAACTTAACCGACGTAATGTTATTTTTTTATTTTGTTGTTGTTGTTGTTATTCGTTTTTCTGGAGAGCTTCAGATCAGTAGATTCTCATCTTTATACGTTTTTGTAAGCCTGCTCCTTTAAGGGTGAATCAGTGGTTTGAGGAAATAGGAAGTCAGTCCAGTAACACTTAGCACAAAGACAAAACAAAAGGCGTTTGTGAAAGATGGCAGGAATAAAAGGTAAAACTAAACCGTAACACTTGTTCTGATCAGTGCAACACTTTATAATACGTTAAACAAACCACCAAGCCGATACTTTTACGAGTGCATCTGCTGTCGACAGTAACCTAAAAGTCTTGTCAACTTAGTTGAGCTTTCATGACTACCGACTGCTACGTAAAATCTTAGGTCTAAGTATAATATAACTGCAAGTAATGCAGCCTGGTTAATTAAAGTCTTTTAAGTATCATGTAGCAATGGTAAATAATACGTTATCAACTACTATACGGTTTAAAAGTTTACTTTAGGTTTACCTTACATTTACTGTTGTGCTGCAGTCTCTATTTTTCGGTCATATTCAGTAATCCACCAATGATAATCAAATGAAGAAATTATCTTAAACATTAAAAATAATTTGTTTATAAACAGTTTAGTCACTAAGTACGTCACTTCTGCAGTACGTCACTATGGCCGTGAGGGGGCCATACAAATACACGTAATGTTTCAGTGCTCAAATCTTTGGCCCTTGACTAATCTGAAGTATTGCTTTGCAGCTCTTGTTGCGTTATCCTTCAGTGGTGCACTTGGACTGACTTTTCTCCTTTTGGGATGTGTACTGGAACATTTTGGGTAGGTCTCTATTTTTGTCATCTGTAAAGATCTTAAGTGCTGTAATTGAAGATAACCTCTATGTGCTTCTTTCCTCACAGAGTATACTGGCCAATGTTTGTCCTGATCTTCTACATCCTGTCACCTATCCCAAATTTAATAGCCAGGAGGCATGCGGACGACACCGAGTCAAGCAATGCATGCAGGGAGCTTGCATACTTCTTAACCACTGGAATTGTGGTGTCCGCATATGGGCTACCTGTTGTGCTTGCACGAAAATCTGTGGTGAGTACAGAATATACGGTATGCCCTGCTTCAGTTTTGTCTTGACCTTTTTTATGCTAAACAATTTGGCAAGGTTGGTGATGTAGCATATGTGCTTAAAGGGACAGTTCACCTAAAAATGAATATTCTATCATTATTTACTCACCCTCAAGTTGTTCAAAACCTGTATGAGTTTCTTTCTTCTACTGAACACAAAAGAAGGTATTTAGAAGAATGTTGGTAATCAAATATTTGACGGTAGCCATTGACTTCCATAATATGGAAGTACTGTTTGGTTACCAACACTCTTTAAAATATCTTCTTTTTGGTTCAACAGAAGAAAGAAACTCATAAAGGTTTGGAACAAGTGGATGGTGGGTAATGATGACCGAATTTACATTTTTGGATATAAGCTTTCCCTTTTTACAGTAAAATCTAAAAGATTAAAAACATGTCCAGGTCACGTTTATCTTAAAAAGAAAAAGAAAACAATCCTGTTTTAAGGACCATATTTTAATTAGTATTTATATATAGATATTTATTCTATTTTATATGTTTTGTGTTTTAATATATTGTATTTATTTATTTACTTTTTATTCAGTTAATATGATTACAGTTATAAGAATCATTGTTATTTTAGTAACTATTTAGAGATACTATTATGGTTTTTATTAATATTTTGAATCAGAAATATAAAAATCTATATATAAATGTTTTAATATATGTGTATATACATTTTTATATATATATTTTTAATATATCCGTCTATATAGTTTTATTCATTTTTATTTCAATTTTAGTTATTTTAGTACATCAAGTTAAACCAAAATCAAATTAGTAAAGTTGCCTTGGAAACTAGCTAAAATAACAAGTTATTTCAGGTAACATTTAACATTTTATAACATTTAGTTATTTCAGGTAACATTTATTTTATTTCAAGTAGCAAAAATATTTTTATGGTTTTAATTTTGCTTTCAGTTTATTTTTTGTCAACTATAATAACTCGGATGAGAATGTGGATGCTTTTTGCATTATAGTAATGTAAATTGGGGAGGAATATTGCAGTGCAGATATCTTAATGGTTTTTGAAAATAGTCTTTCTTCCATTCTTTAAAATATTATTTCTTGCTTGTTTATTTAGATTTCCAGGTAAAAATATGACCCATACAACTCATAAAATAATAGCTCAGAGGTTATAGCAGAATTCTGATTTTGTACAGTGTTCCAACATCACTGTGCAGGCACTGATTAAATTTCATTACATTTTTGTTCAAATTGCATTTAGTGCTCACATGTCCACAAAATGACTTAACAGCATATACAGACAGAATATGCTTTCTAAAATGGCAAACCAGAAAGTACACTGAATGAAATATGCCACCATGAATGAAACTAATGGCTCTCTTCTTCTGCAGATCCAGTGGGGCGCCTGTGGCCTAGTAATGGCAGGCAATTGTGTCATTTTTCTGACCATTCTGGGTTTCTTCCTGATATTCGGAGGTGGAGATGACTTCAGCTGGGAACAGTGGTAAAACCTATCTGGAAGAAGAACAAAACTACATTATAAACTGCAAAGCTTTACATAGTTTGCCATGGCAATGCTGATTAACCCAGGCCTTGACAGAGACTGTGTCAATTGCTTTGTTTTACTCTCAGTTATGGCTGCTCTGTCTCTCTGCTTCTGCCTTTTCATTTGCATTGCACGTCAGCATGTGCATGGCTCTGTGTATACAATGATTTGCTTAAAAAATGTGGTTTAAAATAGTTTGAACCGCAAAATGTAAAGGGTGAATCTCATAAAACCTGTACAGTACAGTTTGGGTCTCTCTGTACTCAAGTTAAAAGCAAAAACAATCGATTATATTTTGCTTAAAATGAAGCCTATTTTAGCACCATTTGAGATTTTTTCTGTTATGTTTATAATTAAGTGTCCCACCCTCTCAAAATGCAAAAATAACTAAATATATTTTTAGATATCATTTGATTAGTCTTTTTTTTTTATTATTATTAAGAATTTCTGCATTTAAAATATGTACTTTTGGTTTTGGGGTGAAATATCACACAGTACACTGTTTTTGTGAGATTCATGCTTAAAGAATTAATTGTATGAACTAGAAATCATTTATGCAATCCAATAAAACCGTCATTAAGATGAATAATTTAATAATACATAAAGGTAAGAGCATAATATGAGCATATTTTTCTGTCCTTTTTTTTAGCAGCTTGAATTGTTAGTACTTAATTACCCTGATTAAATTATTAACAATCATCATTTGCACTTGATATATAGGCCTACCATTATTAATTATCTAGCAACGCCACTGTCACCTTCGAGTTAAAGCGATGCTTTGTGTTTGCAAACAGAAGCATTGTAACCATGGCTGTCCAAAGGGTTTTTGTCTTCGTTTTTGCAATGCCACTAATGTCACTTACGGGTTGGACCTGATAAGCTTTAACCTCCTGTGTACACCACATTACCAAAGCGGACATCTTCCTGCTGTTGTGTTCCTTCATTCCTTGTTTAAATCTATTGTACGTTTCCATGTGGGTCTGTAGAAACAGGAAGAAAAGTTTTACAAAGCATGCAGAATACAATCATAAACAGCCTTTGAGTGATTATGGAATGTTTAGTATAGTTACGTTTTTTTAGAATAGCATTGATTCATGCAATTCCAGAAACATTTTCCTATAACTGACATAATTCCACATCTAAGCTTAGGCTTATCAAAGCCTACACTATGACGTGATTGTTATGTAACTTAATAAATAGTAGGCGAAATAGTAAATGCAGTGTCTGAGATCCAATTTAAAGTCAGGGTGCCAGGTTTAATGATTGACAGTTTCACACTACTGGTGTTGTTATTAATATTTTATAAAGGATTATAAGGTTATCATTTTATCCACTATTTGAAATCTTTCTGTTTCGTTTCTTCAGATGTTAGACTGACTTTACATTGAATCACTTTTATAAGGGATGTTTTGATGTACCTTTGTGATCTTTGACTCTGTTTTAGCACTTTCAAACAATATACATTTGATTATATGAATTAAAACACTTGAATTTTTCATTTTTTGTCTTTTGTCGTAATTGTCTTTTTCAGTAACCCTATATACAGCAAATAGCGTCACAGTTTGTTTTTTAAATTGCACTTTTTTTGAGCAATGACTTTAAAAATGTGCATTATAGCCAGTTCTAGCAATGGATTCAATTGATGTAAGGTATAATAAAAGTGCAAAGCTACTTACAGAGAAGACAGATACAAACTAGAAGATGGGTGTTCAGGGATTGTAACTTTGTTTCAAAGACATGTTTACACTGAAATATAACATGTATGTGAGTGACAGCACAATGATAGATCTGGATTAACATCATAGTCTTGCATCTGGCTTACTTCCCATGTTTGCTGCAGGTGGCAGATATTGTAGGAGTGTGTGCAGAGTTCAACTGAGAAATCACTGAAGCATGAATACGACAGGTATGTAAAAGAAACCATTAGATTTTTTCTGGATTGTTGCGCCTGTGTGGTCTGTCAAGGTCAAGTCAAGTAAAGTCACCTTTATTTATCTAGTGCTTTGTACAATACAGATTGTGTCAAAGCAGCTTTACAGATGCAAACAGGAAAATGGATTGCCAATAATGCAAGAATACAATAACAAATCATTTTTGAAGTTCAAGTCAGGTGATGTCATCATCCAGTTCAGCTCTCTTCCAGTAGTGTCTGTGCAATCAGTCAAGCGTACCCAACTAAGCAAGCCAAAGGCGACAGTGGCAAGGAACCAAAACGCCATCGGTGACAGAAATGGAGAAAAAACCTTGGGAGAAACCAGGCTCAGTCAGGGGGCCAGTTCTCTTCTGGCCAGACGAAATCAGCATGGTGTGGTTTAATTCCAGGCTGCAACACAGGTCAGATTGTGCAGAGGACTCGTCTTGTTCCTGTGATCTTTCCCCGATGGCCGTCTAGTTGACGCGGTCTTCACAGGGGATCTGTCTCTAGGGCTCATCTAGTTGACATGGTCTCCTCTGACATTCCTGGACATTCAGGCTGCAGAGGTCGTCTCTAGGTGCTGATCCTCCATCTGATCTGGATACAGACTGGATCCGTATGGCTACGCTGACCTCGGAATAAGAATGAAAGAGACTAATATTAGCGTAGATGCCATTCTTCTAATGATGTAGCGATGTTACATCGGATGTTATGGGAAGTGTTCCCGGTTCCGGTTGACCTAATTAATGCAGCCTAACAATCCTTTAACGGATTTGAATGATAGAAATGCGATAGTGTATTATGTGTATGCCAGGTTAAAGGGGTCTTTAATCTAGATTTAAAATGACAGAGTGTGTCTGCCTCCCGAACAATGCTAGGAAGATTGTTCCAGAGTTTGGGTGCTAAGTAGAAAAAGGATCTGCCACCCGCAGTTGATTTTGATATTCTAGATATTATCAAATGGCCAGAGTTTTGAGATCGCAGCGGACGTGAAGAACTATAATGTGATATGAGCTTGCTCAAGTATTGAGGAGCTAAACCATTCAGGGCTTTATAAGTAATTAGCAAGATTTTAAAATGTATTCATTGTTCGAATAGGGAGCCAGTGCAGAGTTGACAAAACTGGGCTAATATGGTCATAATTCCTGGTTCTAGTAAGAACTCTAGCTGCTGCATTTTGGACCAGCTGGAGTTTGTTTATTAAGCACGCAGAGCAACCACCCAATAAAGCATTACAATAATCTAACCTTGAGGTCATGAATGCATGAATTAACATTTCTGCATTTGACATTGAGAGCATAGGTCGTAATTTAGATATATTTTAAAAATGGAAAAATGCAGTTTTACGAATGCTAGAAACATGGTTTTCAAATGAAAGATTGCTATCAAATAGCACACCTAGGTTCCTAACTGATGATGAAGAATTAACAGAGCAGCCATCAAGTGTTAGACAGTGTTCTAGGTTATTACGTGCGGAGGTCAAATGAAAGATTGCTATCAAATAGCACACCTAGGTTCCTAACTGATGACGAGGAATTAACAGAGCAGCCATGAAGTGTTAGACAGTGTTTTAGGTTATTACATGCGGAATAACTGATAATAATTTATACTTTTAACTCAATTTTCTTAAAAAAAAAAAAAAATTGTTTAAAGGCTGAAATGTGAAGTTTATCATTTTGTTTAACTTTTTGCTTTTGTGAAAACCTGCATCTGAACTGTAAATCTTGCTTTTAAAGTCATTTTCATTTTATTTGTGCAGGTCTTAAAAAGTCTTAAAGGGGTCATACGATGTTGCTAAAAAGAACATTATTTTGTGTATTTGGTGTAATGAAATGTGTTTATTGCAAAAATGTCAACAATTCTGTGTTTTTCTGTCAATATGGGGTGCTGTGTGTACATTAATGAGGAAAAAAAATTAACTTAAATGATTTTAGCAAATGGCTGCAATATAACAAAGAGTGAAAAATTTAAGGGGGTCTGAATACTTTCCGTACCCACTGTAGTTGCCAAATTTTGGCAAATAAGACAAATAAGATTTTTCTTGTTTTAAAATAAACTTCATTCATGTTCTCTATATATTCTCATTTAAATAAGGCCCTTAGGAAATCACTAGTCATCCAGCTTTTTATATCAGCTATGCATTCCGTTAGTTTTGTGAGTTGGTATGAGTTACATTTTAGACACATTTTGTCTTTTTTACTGTTTTGGAAATTAAATAGTTCCAAACAAAGCTGGAGCAGAGCTGCTGTGCGTGTCGGAGCAGCACTCACACAGACACAGAGATTGTGTGCATGTGTGTGTGTGTGTGTGTGTGTGTGCATTGGTGTTTCTTTCCTGAATTAATCTGTTTTTGAACAAATCAAGTGAGCCAATTATTCAATGATCCATTCATAAAGACAGTCACTAGCTTCGATTCTAATTGAATCAGCCATTTTGAACGAATCGTTTGATTGACGGAATTAATGAATCATTCATTACGACAGACACTTGCCGCCACCTACTGGCGGTTTTAGTGTCATATTTATTTATCCATGATAGGCCTAAACCAGCCAAGGTATCAACATAAATATACACTAAGCAAAATATTGTTTAGTTATTGAAAAAAATCCCCAAAATATAAAGATATAATTGTTTTTGTCTATATTGCACACCCCTAGAACAAAGATGCCAAAGAATATTATATCAATTTTGTCAATAGTATACATCCCTAAATAAGGGGCATCATTTACATAAATGGCACACAGACAGAGATTGCGTGCATGCATGCATGTTTGTGCATTGGTTTAACCTGTATTGTGAGGAACTAATGTCCCCAAAAAAAAAAAAAAAACTTTTCACATTTTGCCACCTACACAAGGAAAACGGCTCATAAACCATAGTTCAATATAAAATAAACCTGTTAAATAAAAATGTTACAAATTAGACAAATTTTGTAATCATTTGTGATCAAAGGAACCCTCGCCCCACCATCCCCCTTGAATTTTTTTTTTTTTTTTTTTTTTCAATTCATTTTTGTACAATGAAATTAAGTATTGGAGGTTTGTTGGTTGTATTTTTATACTTTGAAATATTGCTAATACAACTCATTATGTACTTCCTAGATGTTCATTTACATATTGATGTGTTATAATTCTTTTAACTATGATGAACAATTGTCTTCTAGACACAATATTCCTTCAAAAAAGTGTTTGGAATAAAAACGACACAGATTTTTAAAATTTTTTTTTTTTTTTTTTTTTACAATTCGACCACTGCCTGTGCATAACAATACAAATGAGTTAGAAAAATAAACTATATTCATTCTGTAGTTATTTAAACCGGTATTAGACATTTTTTTTTACTATTTTTATAATCATTTTATTATGCTTTTGCATCCTTTTTTAATCTTGAAAGTTCAATCCCTGCATAGAGCTGCATAAAAAAAAGTAACCAGTGCATACTTTACATTTACATTTTACATGCATATTACTTTTAAAAGTAGATCACATTAGACAGACATTAAAGTAACTAGATTTCTCTATACAAGGCACTAAATAGGATACTAAATCCCAGGCATAATGTATTTCAAGGAAATAGCTAAAGTTTTAAACATTCTATACTTTAATGATGAAGGGATGAAATGACAAACTATCACAGAAAACCTGCCTGAAGACAGGAAAACAGAGCCATCCTGCTGAGCCGTGTCTTTCTCTGAGCGCTTCTCTCGTGCTCAGATTCAAATAAATAAATGATTGGTCCACAGACAGTGGCCCTAACGGCAGCGGTGCCACTCGGTAATGACCTTCCCTGGGGAGTTCTGCTCTATTTTGATGCGCAATCAAAGTGGCCAGACTGAATGATGATAATTAAAGAGCAGGAAGCCTGGTCTTCAGAGGTGTCCTAAAGCAGATTAAAAAAAAAAAAGTCTTGTACCATATTCATGCTTTTGATTATGAAAGATGAGAAAAAAATATACCCAAAATGACATATTATTTCAAATATTGATCTCTTAAAATTGGTGTAATGGCACACGTCCTAATTAAAGAGGGAAATTGGGTAGCAATGCTCTGCAGGTTTGGCAAACTGACAAGCATTTGAACTACAAGAGCATCATTAATAAGAGACTGCATAATGTTTATATTTTCCGAAAACATCAATGAATAAGCATAGTTGAATGCTTAGTCACATGCATTCATGCCTTCAGAAAAACAAAAAATCATTCAGGAACTATAGTTCTTAGAGATCCTAATGCTCATAATTCCGAGACACTGGAGAGATACAGGATAGTTCTTCTAAAAACAGTGGTTATAAGGGCCCTCCAGTGGCCATGAATCTCTGCACCTCAAAACCGTTGCCTGGAAACAGCGTGGTGATCCTCTGATTTATTTATTTAATTCATTTACCACATTTTACTTGTTTTTTCATTTCATTTCATATTTACTCGTTATGGTTAACACTGACCTTACGTGACTTTTTGGCACATTGCGGATGGTTTGGCTGCCTTTTTTTCTCGCGAGTGTATTGATGTCTCAAACATAACATAAGGCAACTTACTGTACGGAGGATACCATGGACTATATATAAAGATGAATGCTCTATGGAAGATCATGCAAACAAGACTGTGCATTTTAACAGACACAGTTATGACCTTGAATAGTCACTTTTAATAAACAAGTTTCTTAGAAAGTTTCTTTATGAATAGGGATGGACAATTGTAATTGTTATAGACATGTTTGACAATTTTCCAGAACTGAATCAATAATCAGACAGACAGACAGACAGACAGATAGATAGATAGATAGATAGATAGATTTCTTTCATCTTCTCATTATCGTTCATTTGGAGGGATTTGGGTTGTTAGGAGGATCACGGAACACCATCAGTGCCAGGGTCCCAGAGAGGAGGAGGATGGGGAGGAGGAGGGATGTCCCATCGCTGGTGATGGGTGACCACTTCCAATAGGATAGGAGGGGTTTACGGAAAGGTCTGTTTTATTCGCTCTCACGCTGACTTTATTCCTTCATCGTTGGCGATCATCTCGAAACGACAGCGCATGCATATAAGGTAAGTTTGCACGCGTCTCTCTAACTAATAGTTCGTGCACTTCGTTGACAAAGGAGAACATTACACTGTCGCTTTCTATGCATTTGACTTGAGACTTGAATCGCCTATCTATGATCGTGACTGTGTAGGCTGATGTAAGTTGCTGCATCCGTTAACGTGTTGGCATCGTAGAACGCGCGTGTAACAGTGGCAGGGCTGCCAACTTTTGAATTAGTCAGGAATAATGACAAGCTTGCCATTAAGTGTACATATTATTTTCTAATTTTTTCTAAACTATACAGGGAACCCTAATGTTAAGGTTAAAAGTAAAAATTGATTTGTGTACAAGTTCATAGATCATTTTTATAATAACGTTATATCTACAGTATGCATTTTTATTAATGATAAAAATAGTAATTAAATGAGTAACAATATAATAAATGCAATTTTTGCTAAATTCTCCTCTATTACATTTTTCTCGCTAGTTTATGGACACTGAATTAATATTTCTGAGGTTTTGTATGTTTTCAAGCACAGACAGACAGACAGACAGATAGATAGATAGATAGATAGATAGATAGATAGACAGATTTCTTTCATTTGGAGGGATTTGGGTTGTTAGGAGGATCACGGAACACCATCAGTGCCAGGGTCCCAGAGAGGAGGAGGATGGGGAGGAGGAGGGATGTCCCATCGCTGGTGATGGGTGACCACTTCCAATAGGATAGGAGGGGTTTACGGAAAGGTCTGTTTTATTCGCTCTCACGCTGACTTTATTCCTTCATCGTTGGCGATCATCTCGAAACGACAGCGCATGCATATAAGGTAAGTTTGCACGCGTCTCTCTAACTAATAGTTCGTGCACTTCGTTGACAAAGGAGAACATTACACTGTCGCTTTCTATGCATTTGACTTGAGACTTGAATCGCCTATCTATGATCGTGACTGTGTAGGCTGATGTAAGTTGCTGCATCCGTTAACGTGTTGGCATCGTAGAACGCGCGTGTAACAGTGGTCTCATACAGAGTACCGATACAATTCAATTACATGATTAAATACCTGCCTAGCTGGACTAAATTAAAATCCCAGGCCATTTGAAATTCGTCTCGTTCGGTCTAATGAAGAAGTCTCGTTTGAACGATGCACAAGGCTCGCGCAGATAGGACTGGCAGTGAATCGTGAAGGTGTTTTCACTGGAGACGTCTTGTTATTAAATATTTTAACTAATATACTGTTGTTTTATACTTAGAACTACGCTTTATCATGTTTAGGACCACCGGCTTGTGAATTATCTTAATTAACTTGATGGACTTATCCCGTTTTCACTGTCTGCTCTAGGAAAAGTGTGAAAGCTCATCATCCATTCTCATGAATATTATTTGACGTTATACAAATTTAATAGACTTGCTATCAAACTAATATACTGTGGTTGATTATAAAGGTGGTTCATTCATTAATTCCTTAATATCATCTGCATTAAATCATGTGTGTAATGCCATTATTTTATGGAGGAATATGGATACAGATGTATAAACGATATAATGTTCTTAAACTTTTATGTATAGCGCATTACGCATTACGCATTAAGATTGGTAATATATAGAAATGACTTGATTTACCTAGTCCAGTTTTACTTTAATGTTAATTTTAAAACTATTACATCGAGAATAGTCTTTCTGTGTGACAACTTTCTTTTTGGAAAAATTAAGTGAATGAAGTCTTAGCATGAATAATAATTCCAGTTGACTCTTGGAATTTCCCATTGACATTTTATTTTTATTTTTCCAGGAAACAGGTCTTGTGTTCAGTGCCACCAGTGGCGGAGCTAGTTTTATAGGCTACATGGGGTGGCCAGGGCTAATTCAGGGGGTCCATAGACCATGACAGGAAATCAGTGTGTAACTCCAACCTGGCATAAAAAAAGCATGAATAATTAATAGTAATACTGATTACTTCACATTACCCCACATACATTCCTACCGTAACTTCAAATGTTAGTCTATTGGACTATTTCTCTTATTTCTATCATCTGATTAACCAGCGGTTGGAGCAAAAGATCTAACATTAACTTATACAGTGATTTTTGTAAATGTTGTTCAGGAAACCTAAAACTTCAATTTACTTCAAACAGGGCTGCCTTTTTTCATGCCTTGAGTGATTACATGAGACACTATACATTCAGTAAGTTGTAGTGTATCTTTCAACATGCCCTCAGATGTTCATTCATGTTCATTCATCATTCATCCGCCACTGTATAGGCCTACATTTGTTAACTTGTTTCCTCAAGTTATAACGGGGCTGTTTAAACATTTCTCATCATATTAGTATCAGTTTTTTTTTTTTTTAATAATGACAAGCTTGCCATTAAGTGTACATATTATTTTCTAATTTTTTCTAAACTATACAGGGAACCCTAATGTTAAGGTTAAAAGTAAAAATTGATTTGTGTACAAGTTCATAGATCATTTTTATAATAACGTTATATCTACAGTATGCATTTTTATTAATGATAAAAATAGTAATTAAATGAGTAACAATATAATAAATGCAATTTTTGCAAAATTCTCCTCTATTACATTTTTCTCGCTAGTTTATGGACACTGAATTGATTTTTCTGAGGTTTTGTATGTTTTCAAGCTGCTGTCATTGAGTGATCACATGAGACACTAAACCAGTGGCGTATAGGCAGAATTTGATTTTTGGGTGGGCCTGGGCAAAAGTAACTATAACGGACGGAGTCAGACTCAATATTCAGGTCATTTCAGTCTTCTTTTGTAAAACTACCACGTCGCCATCTCCGTCACAAACGTGCCCGTTGTCAACATAACCTAAAATCATTCACAATAGCCCCAATCCCTAAATACTGTTGCAGATTACAGTAGCTACAACCTGTCCACATACAAAACATGAGTATCAGTCAGAACAAAAATTATATACGGCTTTATTTATTCCGAAACAGAAGTCAATAATATTCTTTTTAGCAACATCATATGACCCATTTAGCCAAAATAAATGCAAACTAAAAAAAACAAAAAAAAAGTGTGCAAACATATTACAATGAGGTGGCTGTTTTGCAACAAGGTGGAGACAGTTCTGTTCATAACAGTAGACCTGCTGGTAAAGAAGTGACAGGTACAAGAAAAAAAGGAAGAGACAGAGTTTTGCAACAAGGTGGAGACAGTTCTGTTCATAACAGTAGACCTGCTGGTAAAGAAGAGACAGGTACAAGAAAACTAGCCAGAATAATAATAATAAAAAAAGTACACACACACACACAAACAGAAGTGAGAAAACGAGATATCAAGGAAAATGAAGAAACGGAAAAGGGAAGTGCCGTTCAAGAGAGAACTTTTAATTATTTTGCACAGCACGAGCCTAAGTATTTAGAATTTTTTTTATGTTATGGCCATACAAATAATAGGGTTGTCTGTAGTTTAAAAAATTGTTGTGGGTGTATAGCAGGGGTGTCAAAACTCAGTCCTGGAGGGCCGGTGTCCTGCAGAGTTTAGCTCCAATCCCAATTAAACACACCTGAACCAGTTAATCAAGATCTTAGGGCAAGTTGGAGCTAAACTCTATAGGACATTGGCCATCCAGGACCGAGTTTGGACACCCCTAGAATGGCCTGGATGAGTGTGAGATTTCCCGGCCTGAAGTTGTGTCCCAGTCCGGCCCTGCATCTCACACACTGTTCTCTTCTCCCCGCCAACCCCAGCTCCCCATTTTCTCCAGCTCTGTCTCTCCTTCTCTTACTTGCATCGTAACCATTGCTCAATACTGTATTCTGCCATTTATTAGAAGTAGTGGACATCATTACATGTTCTGTTCCTGTAAGGCATCACACTAACTAAAAAAGAACAGCTCATATGCCCTTGTTATACTTTCCTCAAACAAGATAAATGCAAACCCAACTAACATCTTTTGGTGCCCGGAATGTTCTAAAGATGGTTCAATAATGAAACCTAAAATGAACATTATTGTTAGATATTATTTCCACCTCAAAAAACAACCAAATGGGAACCATACATTAGGGGAAGAGCTCATGCCCTTGTTGTATATTTCATCTTTAGGCAATATCGATGCAAACACAACTAACAAATTTTGGTCCTGAAAATGCTCTGAGAATGTTACTCTATGGTTCTTAAAATTAAAAAATTAAAAACATACATAAATAAATAAATAAATACATAAATAAATAAATAAAATCATGTGCCCTTGTTTTATATTTAGGCTTTCTAGTCATTGCAAACACAACTAACAAATTTTGGTCCTCAAAATGTTTTGGAAATGTTAGTTCATGGTTCTAAAAACCCCCTAAAAAGAACATTAGAAGCCCCAAAATACCATGTAGGAATCACTAGGGGAACAGTTCATATGCACTTGTTGTTTATTTTGTTTTCATGCAAGATTAATGCACGACTAACAACATTTGGTCCCCAAAACATTCTAGGATTGTTAGTTTATTGTTCTAAAAAACATTAAAAAAATAAGTAAAAAAATTAATGAGATCCTTATATGTTAAGGAAACAGCTGATATATCCTTGTTGTATATGTTTGCAGGCAAGATCAATGCAAACACAACTAACAAATATCGGTCCCCAAAACATTCTGGGAATGTTTGTTTATAGTTCTAAAAAAAAGAAAAAGAAAAAAACATAATCTATAAAAAGAATGTTCTTAAAACATTATATATTGGTTCCACCCCCAAAAATACCAAATTGCAACCGTACACTAACATTAGTAAAACATATTGTGGAAAGCGTTGTTTTTTCCCTCTTGAGGTGAATAATAAAATAATAGCCCATCCATCTGTGTGCACCCAATCAAATAATAGCTGGAGATTTTAATTGGGATGTGTTTATGAGATCTAATTTTCTGATGTTTATGTAAACATGTAAACAGCATTTATCTTAAATGACCATTTGCGCCATCATTCTATTTGATTGCTTGGTGTTACATGATGGAAAGTCTGTTTCTTACATGTTATTATGTAATTCTTACATAATTGCTGAATCAATTGT